CTTTTCTTTCCTGAATTCTTTGTATTTTCCAATTATTACATAGATAATCTCTCTGTCGGTAGGGTTATGAGCCTAACCAGTCAAGCAGAGCTCTGCAGTCAGGTGAAGAACCAGACAACAATGGTGAGAAAAAGGAAAATTATGAGCGAAATACCAATTTGTCTCCTAAAAAGACAAGTGGAGGGAAACAAGCTTCTGATCCTCCAAAGGAAGGATATATTCACATGAGGGCTCGAAGAGGCCAGGCCACAAACAGCCATAGTCTTGCAGAAAGAGTATGGTTCTACGTCTTAAAATATGATATGAGCAATCTCTTCAAACTTCTTTTTGTTTGTGGTGCACTCTTGAATCTTAATTAGGTGTTTTTTTTTTCATTTCTTCTCATTGCAGGTAAGGAGAGAAAAGATTAGTGAAAGGATGAAGTTCCTTCAAGACCTTGTGCCGGGTTGCAATAAGGTGAGGCTTCTAGATGATTATAGCTGTACGAGAAGAAAGCTATAGGCTCCATTTCTCGTATATAGTTGAAATGGATGTGTTGTGCAGGTCACAGGGAAGGCAGTTATGCTCGATGAAATCATTAACTATGTCCAGTCACTACAACGACAGGTCGAGGTATGTATATGCCTGTGGATATTTACCTATATCCAACTTTGTTCTCTCTTGTTTAATATTTGTGATTGATTCTTTATCAGTCTCATCTTATGAATTGTCCTTTTCCTCGTTTTTTTTTCAGTTCTTATCAATGAAACTCGCAACCGTAAATCCTCAGCTTGAGTTAAACCTCGATGGCCTCATGGCTAAAGAAGTAAGAAAGTTGAAACCCATCAGTTAGACTGACATATATTTTTATCTGATGAGCAGTTTGTATCATACAAAGCTCAAACTATGGTTTATATCCTATTGAGTGCAGGCCCTTCAGCTACGACCTGGTCCCTCATCTGCACCACCATTTCCCCAAAGCATCATGCCAATGGCTTATCCTCCTCTACCGCATCTTTCCCAACCTGGATTCATGGAACCGACTCTCTCTTGCATGAGAAATGTCAACCGATTCTCTCTTGCATGAGAAATCCATCTGATGTCCTTAGGCAAACCGTCACTTCCCCATTGTCTCCCATGAATGAAGGAGGATTCAAGCGACCGGTATACTCCCTGG